TTGCCTTGATAAATATGGGGTTATATAACCATGGAGACAGGTCTCCAACACAGTATGACAAAGACTTAGCTTTATCTACCTAATCTTGAGCAATTTTGAATTCTGTCTGGTTTGGAAATATCAAAATTATGACTATTAAATTTTGCCCAAAACTCCATAGTAGCTCATAGAATAAATACCATTCAAAACAATTCTGAATGGAACATAAAATTTAATAAAAAGAGTTCAAACTCCTGTGTTAAAGGAAGGAATTGCACCATCCGCAAAAGGAAGAAAAGATGTGGCTTGGGTATTTATGTAAAATAAATATGCAGATTGCAATTAATCGACAGTTACAATTGGCCAAAGTTGTTGTGGTGGCTGCTTGATAGTAAGAATATTGTCTTAAATTGAAAAAAGACTAATTTACACAAAGGAATAATACTAATATGCATCAATTAGGCATTTGTGAGACTATGTAGTTGGTACACTTAAAAAGATTTATTGAATTGCAAGTTTATATTTTCTGGCTAGGATATTTTAATAAATACAGATCCCACTACTTAAAAAGATTTTAAATAGATATGAAAATATCTTTGCTCAGAAAAGAGCAAAACAACGTGGACTTTTACAAAGACAAGAGGAAACAAAATTCTATTTCATGTTGGCTGTGTATCAAATAATGTATTACATATTTAATTTTGTCACCATATAATTGATATTATTATCTTCAGTGTCTTTATTTTTAAGAAAAATAAAGAATTTCTTTTAAAACAGAGGGAATTAGAATGTCTAAACAAAACAAGAAAACTGAGGTTAATGTTTATGATTTCTAAAGTGAATTACAAGTAATACTATCAATTTTCTAGCTTACCTCTGGGGAAAATACATAGGACTATCTTATTTATTAGAGTATCAACTGCACATGATTGATTTAATATCAATGTAAATGTAAATAGTACTTCCTTTCCCACATGTTTTAATATAGAATCAGGTAACATTTTTTGAGGAAAGTTCGTACTAGATGTTTCTTAGTATTTCTCACTCTAATTTATTCACTACAGTTATTTTTATTGAACATATATTGTGTTTTTTCAATAACAAATATTTATTAACTCCCCTGAGCTGCAAAAGCTTACAAGGGAGAGGAGGAGTTAGTTTTACACTACCTCTTACGCACATCATGCATACAAATATGCATTGTCAGATGCTTTTTTTCTCTTAATATTCATGTTTATTGAAAACCTATTTCTCTGTTGAAGTGCTTTCAATTTCTCAGTAACTGTGAGATTAGTAGTTTATCTTCAGTGTCTTGATGAAAGCACTGAGGAGACTCAAAAAGATACATAAACTTAGAAGGATTAGAGATCACCTACCTGAGAATCAGAAGTGTTTCTGGTGACAGATTGGATTAGAATTGATTCTTGAAAGACAGGAGGATTCATATTTTGAGGGGAAGGAAAAAGCCTGATTAGTCAACAGTGTAGTTCCTGGCAGAAGGCGTTATGGGGCGTAAAACATTGGAAAGGTAGATTGGACACAAATGGTTTTTAATTCGCAGGCTCAGATTTTGAGTCTGCTGCTGTAAAGCTGATGATGAGGCTAAAGTAGATATAAATTTGAGGTAGAGAGCATCACAGGAAAGAGATGTTCAGCTGAGAAGAAATGAAATGAGGATCTGGAAGAGGGTATGGGTTTGAGAGAGGTATATAAAGAGAGAAGGGATGGGTTTAGCAAGAGAGAGAATATGGACCACAATAGCTCTACTGAGCAAGTCTGACAGTGTAATATAGTGTTCTTATTCACCAACACAAAGAACGTGACAAAGCAAAAGACAGGCTTAGAGAGTAAATCAAAAGCTTATCTTTGGACTTAAGGAATTGATGGTGCTCATGCTTGCAGATAGTAGTCATTCCATAAATAACTCAAAATAAATTTATCAGATCATTTGTTTAGCATAAAATTCTTAGTGAGAAGAACATTTTAAGGGTGTTATAAAAAAGCATTTTGCAGAAAAATTTACTGAGGATGGAGAAGGCTTAGTGCAGAGAAGTATTTGCAGATGGAAAATTTAAAGAATGATTTGGGATTATTGATTAGGAAAGAGAAGACCAAAGAATACAATAAGTACATTCAAAAACTTGCATGTTTGTCTTATAGGAAAACAGACTTGCACTAGATTGATACAGGGAAACTTTTTAGTTTCATCAAGGTTTTATTTGATGTTACTGAAACAATGAAAATGGCATTAACCATCCTTGAGCCTCAAGGAATGCCTCCTCTTCAAAGGGAAAATGGAATGGTCTACTGGGGAAAAATCATGACATTAGGAAATATGTACAGGAATTTCACTTGAAATAACGGAGCAATGACGGTAGTGTCAAACAGCATATTGGCAATGGAAAGTAAGCACTGTGAAACAGAGCCTTGAGTTTGGTATTCAGGAATATTTCATAGATAAACAAATTTACACTGCATCCAGGAGTGCACTGTATATAACGAGATTTAGGAGTGATGGGCAATGAGAAAATATAACCATTTGCTTACAAGTAAACTTAACGAAAAATTCTGGTGCAGAAGTTAAAGGCACCAGAGGTTAAATAATTAGACGAATCATTTTGAGAACTCAGCACATAGAAAGTCAGGTAAATGCAGCTGGCTTCAGAGACTATGTGGTTTACGTTTTTAAACCAAAAAAAAAAAAAAAAAAGAAATAAAAGGAAAAGGGAAAAAAAAGAAAAAAAAAGCTGGGTTTGAGGGAATTCAGATTTGTTAATGCAATCTTCAAATAAAAGCTAGGCTTTTATATGAATCTTAAAATTCTTCTACCTTCCAGTAAACATGAAAACAAAATATAGGTTAAGGGAAACTACTGAAAGGGCAAAAGTCAGAGTTTGGAAATGAACAAAAACCCCTTATAACCACAGTCGTGTCAATTACATGAAAAAAGGAAGAAGTTAAGCAAGTAAATAGCAATATGTTCAGCAAATATATGGTCTTGGCCATTTAAGTTATATATTTATTCCTTCAAATACTAGTACCTTGGGCTTAAATTCTTCAAGCAAAGTCCAAACTTTACATATTTTTTTTTTTTTTTGCAATTCATGTGAGGAGTGATACCTTTCTATTGATATAGACCTTGATATGCCGCCATAAGAATATAGTAACAACATAATTTCAACAAATAAAATCTGCAGTTCCTGTACTGAGGATGTCAAGCATATTCCACAGCTATAAGGATGAAGGATACTTTTTTAAATTTTCTCTAGTCACAGTAAGAGACAAGAAAGTAATCATTAGGTTCTGCACAACACTGTAATGCCTACCTCAGAACTCAGAAAAATTTAGATCACGAAGATACAAAACATAAATGAGACATCAAAAAATAACAGAAAAATGAATTTTCAACAAAAAGAGCAGATTGCAAACTTGAGTAATGGTGAAAGTTATTTTCAGTCTGCTACACCACAACATAGGCAGCACTACCTATACAGTTTAAATATCAAGGTTTAAATATACTATGATTAAAATATTTAAGTATATATTTGTGACACTATTACAAGTGATAAAAAGCTTCCTTGAGCTAAAAGTGACTCTTGTGAATATTTATGTTCTCCAGAAATAAACAGTCAGGGGAGGAGATAATACATCATTTCCTATATGGTAATTGTCAGGCACTGAGAATTTTAACTTCTGATGAGTCATAGGATTGGGCCAAATGTGTGCCTGTAGACACCAAAAGGCCCAAATTTCAGAGTCATTTTGTCGTTAGCAATCAGTGAGTGAATAAACAATGTTTCTGTTGTCAGTTATACACATCATACCACTGTAAGTAGTCAAGGAAAGGTAATGTTTTTATAACTATCCATATTCATGAATGTGGGATGTGGAGTTTATTTCTTCTGTGAAACATTTCCTGATGAGGAGACATAAAAAATTCACTTTTCAGAAGTCTAGAGTCATTTAGTTGTATAGAATAATGTGTAATTACAGAAGGCAATGTTAAAAACAAAGTTCTTATTTTTTCAAAGAACCTCTTGTATTTCATTTTGATCAACAGGTTTTTTCCTTGTTGTTTATTTACCTAGTAATGGCATTCCAAACAGCAAATCTGAAATCACTACTATTAGATTGGAACATGACATTCTGGGTGAAAAGTACTGAGTATTGGTCATTATATTCAATAATTCCTAATGCTAATGTCATGGTATTCATAATTTCATGAAATGTGCAGGAAAATCTATTTTAGAAAATACTGTATTTTCCCATACTCACTCATACACAAATCCACACCAAATACAGAGGCTACTAATAAGTAGATGGGGAAAAGCAGCATTACTGAATCCACACCTGCATAGCTAGTTAATGATTAGCAATTATACATGTTGGAATCAAAACAAAATCTTGAATTACAAACCCAGATGTTTTCATGATAGTGCAGTGCACAAATTTCAAGGGTTCCCAGAGACCCAAAATCTTGGGATCTTCCAGAATCCATCCCCAAACCTTTCAGATTTAAGCCTTAAGAGAATTTCCCTGCTAAGAGAATCTTTGGGTGATACTCATTGCTTCCAAAGCACTGTTCTGAAAATCCTCAAAACATCTCAGTAGAGAACCCCTAGACCATCGTTATTATTCTGCGTCGTCTGTCTCCAATTCTCTCTCTACATATTAAATGGAAGAATCATGGAAACTTCCTACAAAACATTATCGGAGAAGCATCAGCAATCTGCGTACACAACACACACACACACACACACACACACACACACACACACACACCACATCCTTTTCTGGCTTTGGTTTTTGCATCAGCATCAGCAGCTGCAGAAATATCAGGGCTGTTTCCCCTTTAGAATTTGAACTCAGCAGACCTGCAGGCTCCCCTCGCCTCCCACCTCTCCTTCCCCGGCTCCAGAAAGGCAAGATAATGAAGACAATCTCATCTGGACCTGCACTGGAGCTCTTTCAGTTAATGCGGAGGGAAAGGGGAGAAAGTTTCGCAGGCAGCAATGTCTCACCTTCCATGTTTGTTGCCATGGAGATGAAATCCAGCGAGTAGACTTAAGTGTTGACAGGTTTGCCTGTGTTCTCGGATCGGCTCAGGGACAACGTGAAAGGCGTGTGTTGTAAGCACCTGCGTGGAGATACAGGACCGCGGCCAGCGCTCTCCTGGCCTACGTGTCACTGTCTGTGTCTGTGGATGAGAGCTAGAAGATGTGGGCGCCTGCCGGGGCGCGCCTGTCTGCACGCCAACGTGTGTGTTTGCAGGAAAATGTACACTGCTTTGTTTGGTGTGCAGTGTGTACACTTTCGCGGGTGATCGGGTGTGTATGTGAGTGGGTCTGATCTTCTGTGTATGTGAGACTGAAAGGAGCTGGGAAGCAAGCCGGAGAAGGGAAGCTGTGGGTTACAGCAGCAACAGGCACCATCTCTTTTTCAGTTCGGCTGAAAAGCAAGCAAGAAGAAATGGACGCTCGTTTTCGCTCCTCTCCGGAGACTATCACTCCTTGTTTCCTCAGACAGTGAGGATTTAATTAATATACACCCCCCTCCCTTCCTCCTGCTGCATCCCCAGCTGTACCGCGGGCATTTTGCTGGGCTCAGCGACAGCAATCTCAGCTGAACACTGGGCACCAAATGCTTATATTAAATTTCTTCTCAACGGATAAGAGAATGAAAGGTGTACTGGGAACTAAGTGCGTCATTGGAAATTCTTTCACCTACTCTTCCCCAAAACGCAGTTGAATCCCCTCCCAATGCTGGAAGTCCGCCCCCGGGCGCTATCCATAGTGCTGAAGTGTTGCCGCGCTAAAAGGCAGCTAAAAGGCATCAAAACAGTAGCAAGGAACGCTGGGACAGAGCCCCTAGGCAGCTGGGAGGCATGTTTGCTAAACATGTTGAATATGTAGGCTTCACATATTGTATATGTAGACTTCAAGTAAGAGTGTCAAAAGTAAAGCAAAACCAAGCAAAAGCAACCTCTTCCCCATTCTTCATCTTTATTTTGGATGTCTGATCCTTTCTCCAAATGTAGTTGCAAGGTCCCAAAATTCATACGCGCATTTTTTTGCATTAATAGTTAGATAAAATATTTTATTTATCCATAAAGAAGCAAATGGGAGAGATTCTTACTGTGAAAAAAGTGGTTCTAAAACCCAGTTTTTCAGAAATGATCAAGACATTGGCTTTTAGTGGAGATACAAAGGTGGAAATGAAACAATACATGAAACCAATTCAGGCCTAAATCAAAGAGGTGTGATAAATATATTCAGGGTCCAACAATTTTGTGTACATACTGTGTGAAAGACACAGTTTTCTATGGACGAGTAAATGGAGGAAGAGATAGCTAAGGAAAATGGGTAAGTACTCAATGTTATCTAGCATACTGCACTGATTGTAGAATAACTGCACCAGTTGTTTTTCTTCCCCATCCAAATATATCAGCCAGGAAGTTATAGGATGTTAAAATTATGAGACAATTTTGTTTGACCATTTTATTTTGGGAAACTTCTAAGGCAATATTGTCTAGGTTTTGGTGTTGTATCCAAAGCCTACAAGTTCTGAGCACCTGTACATTCCCTAAGAACTTTATTCATATTATGAGTTTAGGGAAAATATTGATACAGAATTTGGACATTATTCAAGTAAATAGAGGAAAACAATCTAAGTGTAATCAGCCTTAATACTGAAGTGAGGATAAGCTTTAAATATGCAAAATATTTATTAACTTAGGAAACTTAAATTTTATAAAAAAAACGACTGGGTATTCATATAGAAACACTCTCCAAAATTGGTTTTATTTATTTTTTTTTTCACTTAAAGTGTTTAAACCACCCAAAATGGAGATGAGCTAGCTAATTACTATGGAAGAAAGTGAAAGATAAGTCTTCTCTGATGTTTGCATAGCTCTGATTTTATAGATTTGTTTAAATTTTTCTAAGGAAATCTTTTTATTTTTTTGAAAGATTTACTCATTCATTTACTTGAAAGTCAGAGAGAGACAAAGAGAGAGAGAGCTGGCTTTGGGCCAGTTGGAAGGCAGGAGCCAAGAATTCCAGCCATGGTTCCTTACGTGAGTACTGGGATCATCTCCTTCTACCTTCCCAGTGATGCTATGAGTAAGCTGGGTCAGAAGCAGAGTAACTGGGGCTTGAGCCAACACTCTGCCATGGGGTGTCTACACTGCAAGTGGCAAATTAACTCTCTGCACTACAACACTGGTCTCCCTCACATTCTTTAATGGCAGTCTGTGCTGGAGCAATGTTTCTTGAAATTGAGCATGATTGATAATTTCCTAGTGATCTTGCCAAACTACAGACTCAGATTTCGTAGATATGAGGTCAAGTCTTAGGTTCTGCATTTCCAGCAACAGCCCTGGTGCTGACATGGGTTGCTAGTTTCAAGACCACACTTTAAATAGCAGGTACTAGAGATAATTGTGTTCTGACAGTGCACCCATACTGTGTGAGAAAGGAGATTATTGCAGCTATTATTCTGTGTATGTTTCTAGAGTGTTGCAGGTGTAATTATTCAAAATAGTACAGAAAATGATCATGTAAACATTTCCTGTTAACAACCTGCTTACGAATGTGATACATTTGGTTTTATTTTGCCATTGTTTTAACCCATGTTACAACTAGCTGCATGCTATGTTTTCCTACTATGACCCTCAGACATCTACTCTCAATATAAACCTAGCTTAAGGGAGCAGAACTATCAACCCAATTCCGTTCCTGGTGTGTGGATCTGTCTAAGAATTTGATTGCATGGCTGGATTTGTGATTTTATGACTGTAAATATGGCTCCATGGCAAATGATCACAAAGCTGCTCTTTAAAACATGGATGTTACAGATGTAATCCTCTTCCAGTTTAGTAAGTGGAACAGGGGATACTCTAAACATGGATCTGTCATGTCATTGACATACACACACATGCATAGATTTTCCTTGTTGCTGTGGATGATTTTCATTTGATACAGTGTTTCTACTTAATGCCTTTGAACTGCTGCCATGAATTAGGTTCTGTGATGTTGCCTTGTGCATGACTTTGACCTTTTCTGAGCTTTAGGAAAGGTGGTGATGCTCTCAAAAGTCTGTAGTAGCTCATTCAGAAGACATAATGGATTAGAAAATCCATTATGTTCCACTTCCTTTGCTAGATGCTGGGATACAAAGATAAATGAGATTTTTGTCTTTGCCCTTGAAGAGATAACATTACAAAACAACAAGGCGAGTTCTCCAACACTCTATAGAAGCACAGAGAGTAATAAGCTATTTATGTTTTATTCTCCATTGTCAAAGAAGGGAAGGATTTAAAAATGTTGAACACAGAATGCTTGCATTTTGTCTTTGCTAAAATTCTATAAAAGAAATTATTGGAAGATGTGAAATATACCTTTTATGTGGGTAACTCTAGCAAGTGTAGGATTTATTTTCAGAGCAGTCCAAATGATTTGAAGTTAGATGTGTGCATAGCATTGTTCAGATATACTCAGACAGAATTGCATTTATGGTGCTTTGAAGTTGTGTTGTATGCCTGTACACACATGTTCTCCCTGATATAGTTCTTGCCAGATGTAGTCTATTCTAAATCTATAATACGGTTATTACTAGTCTTGATCAACCCCTCACATTCCATTCCTTCCACAAAAATGTCTAAGGAGTGTGGATCCTTTAAACATCTCCTCAAAAACACTTCCTTTTAATACCAATTTCATAAACTGTGTTCTTCCTCCTCATTTAAACCAGCCAAGGGTGAGTGATGTGTCCTGATGTTAGATACAAACAAAATCATGTAATCAATCACATTTATCATTTCCTTAGTTACCAGTAGCATCAGAGTCAAAGGAGCAGCCTACATTTATTAACTGTATTTGAGACCTTAACATTTCTATACCTACATTCCCTCTTCATTGATTTGGTTACTATAATTTTGTTTTCAAATGCATATATTGTTTTTACAAGAGTCATCTTTATTAATGTTTGCTGTTATACAAATTTCTCTAATTTTTTATTTAAAAATATTGACTGTGGAGTGAGTATTCCTGATTGTTTCAGGAACTTTTTTTTAAAAGGTAGATATACAGAGAGGAGGAGAGACAGAGAGGAAGATCTTCTGTCTGATGATTTACACCCTAGTGACTGCAATGGCCAGAGCTGAGTCAATCCGAAGCCAGGAGCCAGGAGTTTCTTCCAGGTCTCCCATGCAGGTGCAGGGTCCCAAGGCTTTGGGCCATCCTGGACTGCTTTCCCAGGCCACAGGCAGGGACCTGGATGGGAGGTGGGGCTGCTGGGATTAGAACTGGCGCCCATATGTGATCCCAGCGCGTTTAAGGTGAGGACTTTAACCAGTAAGCTATCATGCCACGGCCCCAGAAACTTATTTTAATAAGATACTAAAATACCAAAAAAAAAAAAATGTCAGCTAGTGGACCTTGAACGTGAAAATCAGGGTTAAATGTTAAATCAGCAGAAAACATGTTTTGATTTCTGCAATAAAGATCAGGTTAACCAAACACTTCTTACTTCTCGTTTGTACTCCAAATAGTGTCCCTTGTATGATTAGAGGCTTCATTATGTTAGAAATTAGGTGTGTTGATTATCCATTTTTTAGAAGACAGACATGATAACAATTTAAAGAGCATGAAAGCCCTACTCTAATAAGAATATTTTAGAAAAAGATTGATACAAAGACATTGAAAGCAAAAAATTTCTCCAATAGATCTGGAAAGAATTCCTTTCAGAGGAAAATTTGCTTTCCTGAATTTTTGCTATTTTGTCTGCTATTTTACTAAGTTTCATTTAGTAGAATCTCCTCTTGAACTTTTCAGACACACATATTACTCTTAGTTTTTTTTTCAAAAGATATAGTTTGTCTTATTTCAAAAGACATAGTTTGTTTGTCTTAAGTCAGAGTAACAGAGAGAGAGAGAGAGAGAGAGAGAGAGAGAGAGAGAGAGGATGCTGATGATGGCTTTAGGTGATGATACATAATTAACTTAAATATTCAGCAATTCACCACTTGTTTTTGAAAAAAAATAAACTCCTCCCCATTTTGAGTGTCATTTGTAGTTACCTATACTTTTTTTTTTTCCTATGATAGTGGTTTTATTTGTTTATTTATTTTTTGATAGGAAATCTTAAGAAAGATTTTGCAAGTTCAGTAAGAAACATATGCTGTCTTT